GTCATCACTTGTGTTTGACTTTGAGTAAACTCTTGAATGATGTCTCCATTTAGCTCCTCAGAAGATCACCCTTTCCTAGAATAGTCGCCAGAAAGCCTAGTCACCCCATAGTGGGGCTCCACCAACTGCTAGGATGTACAGAGCTCTCTCCCTCTTCCCCTTGCCCCGCCAACCTTTGTGATTTCAGTTTTCTGTGATCGTGTTGGAGAAGAGACTTCCAGAGGTGAAACTTAAACTTTCTTCTCCTTAGCACTGTCCTATAACTGGAAACTTTTTTTGCGGTCAAAGGAGCTTGCATCTGAATTAGAATAAAGTCAGAGGAGTGATTTTTGTGCTTGGTTTGAGTGGAAGCCTAGTCTCAGGCTCCAGCAGTTGCAAAGAGAAACAGATATTATTAGTCATTAGGGAACTGGATTCCACTTGAGTCCAATCCAGTGATTGTGTTTCCTACAAGCATTAGGTTCTTCATTTTGGCACAGAAAAGAAAAAAAAAATAACTTCACTAACTGAAATCATATGTGAGTTATCTGTCCTGATGCTCTATTACCAAAATCTTGCTGAACTAGAAGTGTATATGATGCTCTTACTGTTCACAACCACACCCCCCAAAACTGTAGTTAATACTTTTGTCAAGAGAGCTCACTGGTGAGGGACTTCTGATATTAACTATTCAAAGGACAGAGTTTTTTGAGTTACTTATTTTTAAAAATCAGGCTTTAATTGGAGTTTAGGGCGTGACAGGAGCGACAGAAGTTGACACCAACTTGGTGATGACTGTGTTGAAGATAGTCACCATCTGTAGAGCTTCCCCCTCCATACGTGTCAGCTCCAGCCATACATCCACTCCCAGACCAGTGGTGGCCTCTGGGTTGGGGGCAGTCAGATCAGAGTCACGCGGATGTGGATCCTGGGAAGTCTTTAGCCACAGCACAGAATAGAAGGGCACGTGGGCTGAGCTATGGAGCAGAGCATGGGAGTCCCTCCTTTGGAAAGTGAAAGTGAAAGTCACTCAGTTGTGTAGGACTCTTTGTGACCCCATGGACTATACAGTCCATGGAATTCTCTAGACCAGAATACTGGAGTGGGTAGCCTTTCCCCTCTCTAGGGGATCTTCCCAACCCAGGGATCGAACCCAGGTCTCCTGCATTGCAGGTGGATTCTTTTTTTTTTTTTTCATTTATTTTTATTAGTTGGAGGCTAATTACTTTACATCATTGCAGTGGTTTTTGTCATACATTGAAATGAATTAGCCATGGATTTACATGTATTCCCCATCCCGGTCCCCCCTCCCACCTCCCTCTCCACCCGATCCCTCTGGGTCTTCCCAGTGCACCAGGCCCGAGCACTTGTCTCATGCACTCTGAACCGCAAGGAAAGCTCCACTCCTTTGGAAGGCACTTGATAAAGTGGGCCCATTTGCAGATCTCTTAGAAGATGGAAGAGCTGCATCCTGAGCAGCATCAGCACAGCCCCAAAGTGTAGCGCCCGTACTTGCCCGGGATAAATTGTCTTCTTTGTGATACCCAGGAGGGCAGGAACTCTGAACTCGGCTGAGGAGGCCAAAAGTGGAGATCCCAGATGCTCTTCCACATCCTCTACTGCCTGCCAAGTGGGTGACAGATGTATGGATAGGATTCCCCAGTTTTTCCATCCACATAAGCCCACATGGTGGCTGACCTTCAGTTACATAGGACCTTTTTGTGCACTGGAGCTGGGCATTGCTCTCAAAATCTAGGGTTTCTGTTCATGTTTAGTCCAGTGGACCAAAGATATTTTAAGAGGTAGGGGAAAATAGAAGTCTGGTGAGAAAGCAGTATTTCACTACCTTTTGTCTTTCTTCTTGTATTTAGAATAAGGGTAAAGGGCAGAGGTTCTCAGATGAGGTATTTGGAAGAGGTGTAGGGTGTTTGCCGTGGACACAGTGATGAAGGAGCACTCTAGGCTATTACTGGGCAGGAGCAAGGGTTGCTAACTGCCCTTGAATGTGTGAGTCTTGTCCAGTGAAGAAACCTCCCACCACAAATGCCACTGAAGAGCAGCAGGGCTTGGCCTTCCCTGAAGGTTGGTACAGTCATGGGGATCTACACACCTGGCCTTCAAGGTCATCTGAGCTCAGAGAGGCTAGATACAGTCTTCCATTTTTGGTTCAAAGCCATCTTACTGTCCATTCATTCATCTGCTTTCCATCTATCCATTCATTCAACCTTTCAGTATTCCTTTGATGAAGGGTCTCATGGCCACCTATGCTCCCCTGGCCCCCACCCACCATCTCCCTCAGTGATACTGTCACCTTGTCTGCTCTGCTAAACTTCATGTCTTCTCTGAAGTGACTCATTTAGGAGCAATGACAAGTTCTTGTGCCAGTGAGACTAGAGAAGGGGAAGGCATTTGGTGGAAGGACGTAGAGAAGAGAGGAAGAAGAGCGAGAAAGATGTCTCAGAATTTGTTTAGGTTTGAGACTAGGCACCCAAGCTGTTAATCCAAGGAAAAGGTAATTGGTTAGTGCTAATAGAATCCTTTTTTTTTTTTTTTTTGCTAATAGAATCCTTTTACATCGAGGTTGGTGTTTGTCACACTTGAACCTACATCACGATCCCCTGGAGGGTGTGTTCAGACAGAGACTGCCAGGCACCATCCCCCAGCTTTATGATTGAGAAAGGCTGGGCGAGGCCTGGGAATTGGCCTTCCTGACACAGTTTGCAGATGAGGCTGGTGCCCTGGGTCTGGGAGGCAAACTTCTCTAGGTCTGGGTCCTAGAGAAAAGAGAGATGCCTGGAAGACCAGGCTGATCAGGGAGGAGCTGGCATTCCTCTCGACCTTTAGTCAGGGCCCATATGAGGAAGAAGAAAGAAGTTAAGATGTAGCACCTCCAGAAGATGACAGCCACATCAGCTTCATTACCACTCGAATGCTGGGATCCATGCAGAGGCCAGAGTACTGTATTTTCTGAAATACAAAGAAAAAAAATAGAGTAAGCTTTGCTTTCTTATGTCTTTCTGTTCAGAAGTAGGTGTATTTAACTGGTGGCCTTTCTTGATGTCTCCTAGCTTGGTAAACTGGGATATCACTGGTAAACCGAGACATTAGAGCTGGAGGGCGACAATTCCTTTCATTACCAAATAAGGGGGAGTCATAAAAATGCACAACCTGTGAAAGCTTCTCTAAAGGAAGACATCTGGCTTAAGGCCCAAAGCATTGGATGTCTGATTTTTTCAGGAGTGGAAGCCAGGTCAGGATTAGGCATCGTGTTTACTGCTCTGTTTTCCTGATTTGCTCTCTTTACTGTCAGCAGTAACTAAAGGAATCATTGTTTTTGTTTTCCTCTTCCTAATTTGTTAACAATAGTGATGCTTTATTCTGGTCCCCCAAAGGGAAAACCAGAGAGAGGGAGGGCGATGCTATCTGGAGTGTGAGCAGGAATGCAGCTAACACTCTGAGAGCGTCTATTTTTATTGTCACTTCCTGACTTTTCAAGATAATTCTAAGAACAGTTTTTCATCAAATGTGACCTTATGGCCAAATAACAACCAGCTTTTTTCCTCCTTGATGTTTTGTCAGAATCATACCATGTTATTAGTTTGAATACTTAGCAGTGGTTGAGGAGTGGCATAATATTTGGGGTTTCATTTTTTATCTGACATAGAAAGCCCCATGGCACTAAATAAAAATGTCACTGTGTAAAATTTAAAGGCTTTCTGTCACAAATGTTTTTAAAAATTCATGAAAAGCTGAGGATTAGATTTATCTTACCCTCTTTCTGTGATATATATTCATATTTAATGTTAGTTTCAGCATTTGAAGCATGAGGAACTTTTTCGAATGAAAAACTGTGGTGAACCAGTTGTATCTGAAGAAGCAGGCCACAGGGCGGTATTTGAATTGTGCAGTTTACTCCCCGTCCTGTGTTCAAGGGGCATATATGCTTGGTTTTCCCAGTGGCTGGACTTCTCCCTGGGATAAGTCCTTGTTTTTAGAGAGGTTGATGCATGCGGCTACTTGGTTCTGACAGCTGTTTCCCTGTATCAGCTGCTGTTTTCCTTGGGCGTTAATCCCCAGCACACATATGTGATGGCAGAGGAACAGAGTGGGGCCAGACTTCACCTTTGGAACTCGTCTTGTTTTTCTTCTTTGTGGCTTTGAGTCGCTGAGTTGCCTGTGTTTAGGGGACTATCTTTAGTCAGAGACAATATGTAGTCTTCCCTGTGGATGGTCCATAAATAATGAATGACAATAGAGTTAGCTATGAATGAAGAGAAGAAAACGAACTCAAAACAAACTCATGTATTTTTTTAAAAATTACTAAATAGATGTCTTGGGTCTGCAGCATTGGCCTTACTCAAAACCCTGGAGGGTTAAAAGCTGGTGAGGAGGAAGGGAGCTGTTGGCCCTGCTTGTTCCATCTTCAGGGCAGACAGACCTACCTTGGAGGACACAAGCGTGCTTCCTCTCACTGCAGGTTGGCTCATAGATTACTAGGAGACGCGACAAGGCACATTTGTTGTGGACTGTGGTTTCTGGCTGTCCTTCCACCTGTCCATCATTGGTCTGTTCTTCTGTCCCTCTGTCCCTCCATTCCTCCCTTTTTTCTGTCCTTTTGTGCTCTCCCTCTTCCTGCTTTTCTTCCACGCTGCAAACACTTTCAAGCACCTGCTCTGGGCCATAGATTGAGCCAACTTCTCATAAAATGAGGGGAAATATGCCTGTTTTCTCTGCTGAAAGTAATCAACCTTTTAATAAGAGCCAAGGAAGAATGGCAATAAGAGATATGGCTTGCCTACAAGGACAAAACCCTTTTGAGCTGGTTTTCCCACTTACTTGTCCCTGAGGTCCAGACCTAATTGAAGACTGGCAGCCGTTACCTAGAACAGTACCAAAACTTAAGTGTGTGGTTTTTGGGATGAGTTGTGAGCTTTTCGTCATCATGATCTTGATGTTTGTATTCCTTTGTTTAATGCAGAGAATCATCTTGATAAGTAAAAATCATCTTTTCCCCTCCTTAGACTATTGGCAAGAAGTTACCTCCAACTGCAGCAACTCCAGACTCATCAAAACCAGAAATGGACAGCAGGACAAAGAGTGAGTTTTCCTTGTTTATGTTTTATGTTTGAAAAAAATGAATGGTTTTATGATCATTGAGCCACTTTTGAAAAATTCTTATATAATCTTAATGGCTTTTTTAATAGCACATTAGGGAAAAAAATGCACCCGATGGGTTTCATTTTGTTCTACCAGTAGGGTGGGCACAAGTTCGATTCAGAACTCCTCGATGGAAGAAGATTCTTTCCTGCCATTTGTTTTTCACCTGCATGCAGAGCCAGGGCTTATCCATGTATACCTGGATCCATCTGCATAGTTGAGGAGTCAGGAAGATTTTAGAGAATGGCAATTCAAACAGTGTCGAGATTCATAGGCCTTCAAGTCAAAGAGGCTTTATCTTTTAGCCTAACCACTCAACAGATACTCCCAAATCTTGACTCCTCAGTACAGCTCTGCTTGTATTCCTATAGTTACAAGTGTCTTTCTTCTGTTGAGCCAGATATGCTCTTCCTGGCATTTTTACCCATCGGTTCTAGTCTCTGGGTCTATATTGATTTTAGCCTATTTTTCTCCTAACAGTCTTTTAAGTATTTGAGGATAATTGCCAACCTTCCCAGCAGTCAGTACTCCCCATCCTAGAGTTGCCAGATAAAATACAGGGACGCCCAGTTATATTTGAATTTCGGATAAACAATGAACAATTTTTTGTCTTTAGTATGTCCCATGCAATATTGGTTATGTATATGAAATTCAAATGTAACTGGGCATCCTGTGTTTGTATTTGCTAAGTCTGGCATCCCTCCAATTCCTTTAGTCATTCCTCTAATAACTGGAACGTTCTGAACATGCTCTAGTCAGAAATAAATACTGCAGTTCCTTCTAGGGATTTCACTTTTTTTTTCCCAGCTCCAGATTTCCTTATGAGGATAATGTGGACAGACTACTAATCTAGTTTGGAAATCCAAAGATTGAGAGAAGCTCTATCATACATATGTGATTATGATTAATATAAGAGCAAGCACAAATGTATTCTTTTAGTTCCTGAAAATATAGCAGAAACTCCTTTTTCAGTGCAAAACAGGTAGTTTTGAGAGCAAGTAAATGTTACTGCCTTAGACACAGAAAACGAATTTATGAGACTGCAAAGCCCCAAATGGTGTTTTAGATAAATACATTCATGGGTGTTATAGATGCAGCTGTCTTAATGGTTAAGGTTCAGATGAGGTCGACATGCCTTCAAGGTGTTAATGATACAATCAGACTTTGTTTAAAGAGGAAGGACGCTCACTAGACTAATGCTCTAGTCCAGCAGCTCCCCAACTTGAGTGTGCCCCAGAATCACCCAGAGAGCTGGGCCACACCTCCAGAATTTCTGAGGCAGCAGGTCTGGGGTGGGGACTGAAATTGTGCTTTTCCAATAAATTCCCAGGGGCTGGAATGCTAATGCTAAACCTCCATTTAAACACTAAAACCTTCAAGATTCTTGAAGAGTATCCTGAAAAAAAAGAAAAGAAAAGAAAAGAAAAAAAAAGTATCCTGAAACTTTTTCTTTACAAGAATTCAAAGTTAAACCATTTCCATAATATTTTCTCCTGTTGGACGGTAGCCCATCCTTCCTTCCATTCAACTGCTCATTCTATTTTCTGGCCATTAACAAGTTTATCAGTGATCCAGGTTATTAGGCAAGTTTGCTGGAATGGCTGGAATGGAGGATGGGCAGGAAGAGGGGAAGACACATCAAACCTCAAAGGTAATTGGAATGGGGTCCCTGGGACAGGCTGTCCTCGTGACAGGTGACAACCAGTGGCCTTCACCAACCTCAGTCATGTTTGCAGAAATAAGAATCTGAGAAACAGAGAATTTTTTTTTAATGGAAAAGAGTTTCAATAGAAGTGAAAGAAAAATGCCCTATAGATTGTTCCTCTCTCTGCAGATTAAATAGACGCTAGGGTGACTTGTGAGTTGGTTTGGAGGAGGCAGAGCTGGGGGAATCCAAGCGTCACTTGTAAGATTTTGACACAAAATAGGACAGGCTGCAGGACATGCTTAAGTGACTCATCCTCAGGCCTCAAGAACTCACATTAGAATAAGAGCATGTCCTTGATAGATCTTTTTGTCTTCTGTAATGTCTGCAGGCAGGAGACTCAAGTCTTTTTTGGCGGTGTTAGGTGGTGGGTGTGGAAGGAGTTTTAGAGAAGTACTGACCAATAGAAATACTATGTGAGCCACATACAAGATTATATATTTTCTGGTAGCCATATTAAAAAAAAAACAAGAAAAGAAACAGGTTATAAAAAGAATTAGGTGAACTCAATTTAAATATATTTTATTTAGCTCAGTATATCCCAAGTATTATCCTTTCAACATGTGTAACCCATAAACAATGAGGTATTTTAATTCTCTTTTCATCTGAATCTTCAGAATCCAGCGTGTATTTTCCATGTATGCCACATCTCATCTTGGCTTAGCCACCTGTTGATTATTAAAAGCCACACGTGCCCAGGGGCCACCATATCAGACAGCGTAGTTTGAAAGTGATTCTGGGATATAAGATGGGCTTTCTGGGACTGGATTTTGACACAGTTCAGAATGCTCAGCTCCCTTGAGCATGTGGGAGAATCCTGACTCTAGCCAACGCCTCTTTCAGTCCTACAAGTATCTATTAATGATGTCTATCACTGGATACATCACAGAGTGGGGCTGAGTTGTTAATAACGAGTGGTTTTACAGGCTGGTAGGGGGTGTTCTGCTGAGAGTCAGGAAGCACAGGTTCCAGGACTAGCTCTCTTCTTAGCTAGCTGTGTGATCTTGGGCAAATAATTTTGTTTCTCTGGCCTTGCTCTTCATTGTCTGCATTGTCTCTGAAGTCAGAGGGTTGTACTCGAGAGAAGCCTTCAGGTCTCTCCCAGCATCTTCACTATCTGATTCAGTCCCAAAAGCTTTATAATTCAGAGTGAAAGCTTTCTGCATTCCAAGAATTGAACAGCCCTTGGGAGAGACAAAAGAAAGATGCAAACAATTGAGTCGGAATATGAGAGGATGTCATTTGGCACAGATGCCACAGAGATAAGTCTGTGTCTAAGTGGTTGGGAAGAATGATCACTGTCCGTGAAGCCTGGAGAGGTTTTTATTGACAGCCATGTTTTCATGGAGCCAGAGCAAGGATTGCTGCAGTTTACTCTCACCCCTCACGCACGTTCTGACTTCCATTGTAAAGAGCAAATTCTGGGGTAATGGTTCTCCCATGATTTCCACGAGGGCCCCTAGTCCCCCAGGTAGCCCCGTCCATTTGGAACCTTTTGCTGCTTCTGGATTTGGATGTAGCACCCAGGTTCAAGCGGAAAGGACACAGAGCGCTGCCCCGCTTTTAGAAATGACCCTGCGCTTGGGGAAGTACACAGCCTCCTTCCTTCTGGTTGGAAGTCACACCCTTAGCAACTTGCCCAGCAGTACAGAGGAGAGATGTGCCTTCCCACACAGCTGTCTCCTTAGCGCATTCAGATACTGGGTTGGCCAAAAAGTTTGTTCAGGAGACTTCCCTGGTGGTCCAGTGGCGAAGACTCCGAGCTCCCAGTGCAGGGGGCTGGGGTTCGGTCCCTGGTTAGGGAACTAGGTCCCACGTGCCACAACTAAGAGTTCATGTGCCACAACCTAAGACTGGGTGCAGCCAAATAAATAAATAATTTTGAAAAGGTTTCTTTGGGTTTTTTGGTAACATCTTACTGAAGAACCCAAGTGGCCTTTTTTGCCAACCCAATACAAGCTCTTGTCACTAGTAAGCATTATGATGATTCAAAAAATATTCAGTGTAGATTGGTATCTTCTGAGAGAAAGTAAAACTCAGCTGATCAGGATTTATTTAAACAACTAACATCATCTCCCCTCCCCCAATAAAGCTTTTATGATATTGAAATTCATCAGAAACGCATGCTGTGGAACAGATTGCCATAATTTTCATAACAAGAGAAAAGCTGTCTAAATATTCATAAATGTAGTGCCCTGAGGTGCCTCCTGCTCACCACATCTGGAGCTCCCCTTTTTCTGACTACAATTGATGCAGATTTGTGGCCTCTGTGGGATAGAAAAATAGCCTGAAGAAAGAGTTCTTTAGCATCTTCCTGAACAAACAGTTCAGTCTTAGAGATTCAGAGGACCAGTTGAGCAGGTAGGTTAGAGAAAAAAATAGTCCTTAACAGAATGTGTACAAAGGCAGGTCAGGCTTCTAAATAAACGATGCCTGGGGAGCAAAGGCTAAACTTTTCCTGCTTAACCCTCCCCTCACGTTATCACTGGATGCTTATGCCACCTTTCTGATCACTTTGTCCCTTGACTTGCTTCTTAGGCATTGTCCCCTGTGACGGTGACACGTAGTGCCTTGTGGCTACCATTGATCCCTCATGGTGGGGGTGGTGTCTTCTGCCCACCACCCCCACCATCCAGTCCAGGAAAGTGCCATGGACTCAGTGGACACTGGCAACAGTGGTGGTGGAGCAGATGGAGAATTAGAAATGATTTCAATACCAGGCTCTGTACCTAACAGAGTCTTGTCAAAGCAGTGTAGTAGCCACAAGTCTCCTTCCCTAGGTTCATAGTCACTGGGAGGGAAAGAACACATTTGTTGACCCTCGAGCTTATTTCAGATTCCTAGGGGGTCAACAGTGGTTGCTCTGTGGGACTTGACAAATCCTTGTTCTTTCTGGCCTCTGCCAATGCCCAGCCAGCCCAAGAGCTCCTGGTTTAGGTTAGTTTGACAAGGTCACGTTTCTGGGCTCATTGCAACACAGGGACTGCCCAGGAACGCCTGTGGAGCATTGCACCAAACAAAAACGAGCAGTTACAGATTTGGAGGAGAGGCGGAAGTGAGTGAAATTTAGATGAATCAGCAGGGTTTTGATATGTTTCAAACAAAACAGGGCTGCGTGAGTGGGGCCTCATCACGGCTGGTCTGTGGGCTGAACCCAGGTCCTGTGTCTTTGGGAACCACTGATCCATGAGCAGGGCTGTGTCCAGTACCCCTTACAGGAGGTCCTGCTCTGGTG